GCAGCGTGGAACGGCCTCGCTGCAGGGGACCCGTGTCGCTCCCATGGAGCGGGGACGAGGACGGGCTCAGCGCGGCAGCGGAGCAGGGCAGCGTGGAACGGCCTCGCTGCAGGGGACCCGTGTCGCTCCCGCGGAGCGGGGACGAGGACGGGCTCAGCGCGGCAGCGGAGCAGGGCAGCGTGGAACGGCCTCGCTGCAGGGGACCCATGTCGCTCCCGCGGAGCGGGGACGAGGACGGGCTCAGCGCGGCAGCGGAGCAGGGCAGCGTGGAACGGCCTCGCTGCGGGGGACACGTGTCGCTCTCATGGAGTGGGGACGAGGACGGGCTCAGCGCGGCAGCGGAGCAGGGCAGCGTGGAACGGCCTCGCTGCAGCACCCGCTGCACCAGCCTGCAAAGGGGAGCTCTCAGCTACAGAGCACTTGCACTCATGAAGCCAAAAAGAAGTATCCTGACCTTTAATAATGCAGAGCTGTACACGTAACACTGGCGTCTCAACGACTCTACCATAATGCCAAATAATTGCAATATAATGCAATATCTGTACTTAAAATGGTACTCAGTAAGTGCTATTACAAGCAGTAATCGAATACCATTCAAATACCAGATTAAAAAAAAGAAAAATCGCAACCTCCGTGATTCAGAGAATCTCTGCCGTCAGCATAGTTATTTGACAGTAGTACTTGCTTAGGTCAAAATCATCTAGTAATTTGATGGTAATTAATTATAATAAAAGCTGTTATTACCAAATTAAAATAGGACTTGATAAGAAATTAATTTCATCATTAATTTCATCCAGAGTGCCCCTAGAAACGGTTCACAGACCCACACTAAAATAGCTGACTTCCAGGATCTTGTAACACCAACCTGGACATGAGGCAGAAGTGGGTATTGAAACAGTCTTTTGAATAAAAGAGTTCTGAGGATTGGACATTTAAACTACTCTTTAGTTACCTTCAACAACAATATTTTAATTTTCAGATTATTTGGTTAAAATAACACAAGACCTTGTTATTTTGTGTATTAGGAACTATATGACATTAGATCAAATTCAAAGTGACAGACAATTTCAGGAGAAACACACAGGGAGAATGAAAGTCATTTGCACAGTGCCACACCAATGTTCCTAAGTAAAACCTTGGTGCAGTCACGCACTTGCCACCAAGCAAATGCTTTCACTCTGCTAAAAAAGAAGATTGTTTAGACTCTCTAACAAAGGCAAGAATGCACAACAAAATGACTTTTTGTTTCCCTATCTCTTCATGAGAAGAACGGCCTGAATAAAATAACAGCCTTTTATAAATTGCTGCTGATCTAATATTCTATTTATGAGCATCTGCAAAATAACATCACGTTATATTTCAGCAGAAAATTCTGTGTAGTTCAACTAATGCATTAAGTACTTTCAGTTAAGGACTCATCCCACCATCCGCTGATGTTTTTTTAATATAAAGCACTATTTGCACACAGGAAAAAAGATGATTTATGGGAGCATTTTCATTTATCTTTAACTTCAATATTTTTCAGCTCATAGTTGGTAAACTGTGTGCCAACTTCCTGTGCCCCGTGCTCTAGGTGACCCTGCGTGTGCAGGGGTTGGACTAGATGAGCTCTAGAGGCCCCTTCCAACCTTCAGCATTCTGTGATTCATTCTATGATTCTATGAAACTAGCATCCACTGACATGCTTTAAAATAAACCTTAATAGTAAATAAGCAAAAAAAAACCAAAATCTACCAACCCTTTAAAATCACTATCTAAATTTAAAGATCAAATTAAATTTGTATCAATTTAAATCCTGAGCAAAATCTTTTCAAACATACCCACTTTTGAGCAATTACTCTAGGTGAGCCTTACTTTGGATACATACAGAGATGTGAGGAATTCTGGATTTATAGTAATGCATACACTATTTGAATAGAAATGTTGTTCTTAAAGGAAAACCAATATTTTTGCAACCTGTTCTTCTAAAAAAAGAACTGTGTTCCTACGCTTCCTGGCTTTGTTCCTTTCTCAAGTCCTACCATTTTGCAGAAACTTAAGTTTCCCCTCCTAGGGCGATGGGTACAGAAGATTTCTAAGGAAAAAGGGAACAAGTGGCAGGAGAGACTTGAAGTATAAGATAAGAAGAAATGGATAGATGAAAGGAAGAAAAAGGAGCTCATGGAAAGTCAAGGAATAAAAAAAGAAACAACTGAAAAAGCTTGTTGCTGCAGCAAAAAAACTGAGGAGGAAATAAAATAAATATGTGGAATGAGATGGAATGAAACTGGATGAGATGAAATCACTAAAATAAAGATTGAGATCTGTCAAAAGATCTCCCATTGTGAACAGTCCCTGATAGAATATAGAATGAAGGAAAATAATTTGAGAAGAAAAAGAGTTTTCAAAATGAAAGAATGAACCAAAGTGATTCCTGAATTACTTGAAAAAAACAAGCTTTTGTTTTTTTTCTTTTGTTTAAAAAGATTAAAAAAAAAGAAACAGAAAGAGCAGTACAATGATTAGCAAAACTTAAATACAAAGGCAATCAGGTTGTTGAAAATCTTGGATTGAAAAAGAAGAAGAGCTAATGACTCAGCTGAGGTGAAACCATGGTGACTACTGAAACCATGCAACTCCAGCCACCATACACTACATCTAGGAATTTAGCCTCTAAATGAAAGAAAACAGGAAGGAAAAAGGACAGTGGGAAATTTGAGAAATATTCTGGGGAAATGAGGAGAAACTTTATGTTGCTCAGCACTCGGTAAGTCCTCTGGAGCTGTAAACGAACAGCAGCAGAAGAAAACAGAACGGCCCTTCCTTAATCACAACATCTCTTATCCCACGGCGATTCCGAGCAACCCTATCCAACTGGGAAGGTGGCTCCAGTTTGGAAGCTGCCTCTCCTCCAGGGAGCAAGGGGCCGCTGGACCCGGCCGCCTCCTGGGCTCTTTCCAACAAATTCCTCTACTATCCTGAGACCTGTTGCATCCATTTTTTGCCAGGTGACACAAGAAACCCTGTCTTAAAAAAAGACCTAGATGTCATGTAAGATGTCATGTAAGATTGCCTTGTTTGCAGCATATGGAAAGCTAAAAACAAAAGGTATCTTCTTTGAAGGGATTTTTAGGGAAGGCAGCTCCTTATAGGAGTATTTTGGCCTTAAGAACCTTCAGCACTGAGAAAAGTAGACCTTCACTCTGGTTTACCTTTTGTCTAGGCAATGATCCCTTACTTCTGATGTTATAAATTCTTCCGTAGTAATTCTAGTACCAGAAGACTAGTGTTTTGAAAGAAATTTTCTATTGCAATGGAATAGAATAAAATGCAATAAAAATGCAATAAGATGCAATAGAAAAAAAAAAGCAATAAATGAACAGGCAATCACAGAAGCATAGTGAACTATTACCGTAAAAACTTCATGCTAATTAAATAGGAAATTCTCTGCCTCTTTTTTATACTTACAGTGAAAATATTTTCTGGTTTGAAATGGGCAATAAGTTTTCATTTTGGATAAGTGTATTATTCCTTCTTAATTGAGCTAACATAATTTAAGGTGGGACATAACAGCAACTTGCAGGTGGAATCCACAGGGTCTGGAACTGCCATAATTCCAAATACGCTCCAGTGATTAAGCAGATGACTAAGAGGTGCTGCAGAGGGGAGGTAGCTGTGAAACCTGCATGCATTCTCTACATAATTAAATGCTTTCACCACAATGCAGAACTAAGTTAATAAACTCTTAACAAGAAACCTAAAATTATAATTGCGTTTTTATTACATTAAAGCAGTTTGGCTTAACCTGATATTCCTTCAAGAGCGCACAATTGCATTTGAGTAACACAATATAATGCCAAATCAGCAAGCAGAGAATCAAGGTCCCATTTCGGGTCCTGCTGTGTGTTCCTGAGATGTTGATTTCTGCACATCCACTTCATCACTCTAAACAGACCACCAGCTGTTCCAAGATTGACTCTTCAACCACTAAACGTCGTAATTGATGCAAAACCCTCATTAGCTAATGCTCTGATCTGGGAAATTTGAAGGTCAGATTAGATTATTTTAACAGTCCCTTTTGGCCTATACACTTAAATGTTGCCTTTAATAAGCAATCCTATCCACTTTCACCTAATATACTCAAGAGAAGAAAGATGTAAATGTACTGCAGACTAATCTTTCATTTTGGAAAGAAAGTTCAAGCTATGCTGAGATACAAAAATAGAAAAAATACTTTTGGGAAAACCCTCAAAAAATGAAGGTTATCTCAGTTTAACTAAGAATATCTGTAAAAAGAAGAACCTGACCTTTACCAGCCAAAGGAAAGACTGAAAAGTTGTTTTTGAATGAGTTGTAAAGGTGACCTAATATACAGGAAGACTCCTGCTACCATCACATCTCTCTCAGAAATCCAAGGGCACAAAAGGTGTAGTCCAGGCAGTAAAGTACCTGTGATTACCTCTACTTAAACCAAAACATACTTCTGCAAGAACGGATGAACACACAGATCTCTCTGCATCTTAGCAATAGTACAATAATGCCATAGTTTGAAAAAGATACTTAGCATCACTAAGTAAACAAGGCCAATGAACAGTTTAGTCCAAAACAAGCAATAAATGGAAAAAAAAAAAAAAAAGAGGTAAAGTTTGGGGGCCTTAAGGCACTGAGACGGCAGAAGACATACACAGAGAACATACCTGATGATCTCCAAGGAAATGATTTTTCAGTAGAGCTGTTGAAAGGGAAAAAAATAAAGCAAGTTCAGGTTCATTTTTGTGACTAAGTGGCTAGTTATGGGTTCTTTTTAAACCAAAGCATAGAAAATGGTACAAAAAGCAGTAGGCTCTGACGCTCTGGGTAAACAAAACGCTGCAGCGCTTTGCACGTGAGAATGGAGCTCTGCGTGCCCCGCTGTTCAGTCCTTCCCTTGCTGCACTGCAGGGCACCGCGGCCAGGAGCGGCAGCGAGGGGGGCTCCTCCTGCAGCGCCCGCACGGCGGCAGGGGGGACGCGCTCCGGCGAGGCCGCGCACGCCTCGCCCTGCAGCCCCGTGCACCGTCCCCGAGCCCACCACCGCCTTCGCTTCGGAGCGCTGATTTTTAATAGCACATTTCGGGGTTTGTAACTACATGACAAGCAGATTTTGTGCAACTTCATCAGCTTCTGGCTAGCAAGCTGAACCTTGTACTTTTCTTATTATAACCTCTAAAACTACCTCTGTTGTCAAAAATTCAAGAGAAAAATTCTACCAAAATTGATGTTGAATTCCAGAGTTTGTATAAAACTGAACAGATTTTATTTATCCAAAGCTGAGTTTTGAATGATAGCCAATGTACATGCATACTTTCCTGTGTGCGATCTTTGCTCTTCACTGAGCAAGCCCATCAAGTTTTTAATCATCGCTATAAGCGTATTCATCAATACTCTGCTCTGCTGAAATTAAGAAATATGCAGTTATCTACTTGACACCTGCAGGTCCGAGGACCACAATGCTACCTGAACGTCAGATCATACACGCTGTACCTCCCCTCTTTCTTTCGCTGATTTTGAAGAAACTGTTTCATACAATGAGATGACATCATTCACCGGTGCTAGCAAAAGAAAGTGCTAAACACACAGAAATACTATATCCTTGCATATGAAAGATTAAAAGATATATAATATATATAAATAATACACATTTTAATATATATTGTATATACTTTATATATAAAAATATATACACACACACACATATACAAAAATGTATCTACCAGACATATCTAAGTGAGAGTCTTTATACCTACAGGATTAATGAAAGATAAGAGTTGTCCTGACTACAAGCAAGAAGTAGAAAACTGTTCCTTAAACTAGTCAGCTAAGAAACTGACTTAAATTAATTCTTAATAAATTATTTTCTGCAAAAATTGCAGTGTCTACTCCCTAATAACTTAATCACGTAGTTTTTGTTACCTTTTGAACTTACCAATTCTCCAGCTCTGATAAGCATGCGTAATGCATTTTATTCTATTCTTTTGTTAAAAAGCAAATACCATCTGACCACTGAGCAGCTTTGCAGTCACTAATTTAACTAGTCTTGCTATCTCCTCCTGATATTAACGTGTAAGCTAGTGAGCCTATATATGTTGTACAGCAAATCTAAAAACATTCAATTCAATCTGTCCTTAGATGAGGAGGTTAGACATGTAGAAATGACACTTCTCTTTCACAGTTGTTTGCTCTAACGTGTAGGATTTTGAAGTAGAGAGAAATATTGTTACTGCCCAGTCGCTATTCACTAAACGGCGCAGAAGGAAAGCATAGCTAAAACATGAGACACGGAGGGAAGGAGAGCACAGATGAAACGCCAGACAGAGGCCCAACCTTGTCATTCCCTCTCAGGCCGCTCTGCTCGGGGCGCTGAGGCGCCGCGGCATGGCGGCCTGCAGCGAGCGTGAGGCGCGAGGCGCTCCCCGCTCCGTGCTCCCTGCTCCGTGCTCCCTGTTCCCCGCTCCCCGCTCCCCGCTCCGCGCTCCCTGTTCCCCGCTCCCCGTTCCCCGCTCCCCGTTCCCCGCTCCATGCTCCCCGCTCCCCGCCCGGCCACCGCGGCCGCCCTCCTCTCTTTCCTCGGCATCTGGCAGCTTCGCCCTGTTTTTATACCTTTTTTGCCAGCTCTCACAGCTTTATTTCAAAGATGGTGCCTTAGTTACAGGATTGAACTAGTCACTAGAGCGGACGAAGCACCGGATGAACAGAGAGCTTTTGAAGCACTATCCTCTTTAGAAACAACTCTCCCAGTTAGATGTGTGGCTCCTGCTCTGGAGGGGAAGCTGACGCCTTGGTGCTACCTACATCCTTGGAGACACTGCACGGCACGTGGCAATTAAGCCTATTGTCTTAGCAACCATTCCTTAAAATGGAATATATTTCTACAATTTAAACAACATTCTATGAAGGAAAATTAGCAATTTCCATTTATATTTACCTTGACCACTTGCATACACCACTGTTGTAATCAAAAAGGGCAACAGTGGGAAAAAATGAAGCATCAAATTATTTTATTAAATATATTTCAATATATTAAAGTTATTTGAAAATGCTGGAAAGCTGTAGAAAGCAAAATACACAAGATTTTTTGAAAATGTATATACTTCACATGTTTTCACCATTGAAAGACACATACCCCATGAGCTAGCAAATGATTTCTTCACGGGGATCCATGTTTGTTGCTTCAGTAGAGTTGTCAGTAAAATCTTGCTGAACATATTGTTTCAAATGACCTTTATCTTTCATTTTAAATACCACCACCCAGAAGACATTTATAATTTTATGCGCTACGAAGCTGCAAATTCTTAATACAGGGGGATTTTCCAATAAAGTGGCATATATTTAACTCCATATACTGCAACATCACAAGTAACTGGCAACTATCAAAATCAGTAAAATGGCATTTCACATTTTTGCTATTTTTTGTTGATAGCAAATATTGACTCTTGATGACAAACATGTTAACTAAACTTCAAGATAGCTATCAGAAAAGCTGAAAAGGACTGCAAATCACCCTGACCAGGTGCATCTTAATGGCTGTGACCATGGCAGTGACCATCGCGACGCCCGCCCTCCTTCCGGGGAGCTTACACGTTCTCGACGCCACCAGAGGCTGGAAACGCGGCACGCACCTCCGATGTGCCACACGGGTCTACCCGAGAGCTTAGGGCTGCTATGCCCTAACGCGGGAGCCCGTCTGCGCACACGGCCCTGGTCACCCGGCGGTCCCGGTGTCCCCTGCATCCGCCTCTCCCGCTCGCCGAGGACAGCGATGCCCTCCGGTAGCCGCCCGCTCTGCTACTACTGGAGAATATAGCAAACATTTATATATGCAGATGCAGTCAACATTAAATCATTGCTCTCTTCAAATTTATCAGCAGTGCCACTCCACAATTTGCTTTTTTCTATTTGAACATCTGCAACCAAACTGCATTAAAAAAACAGCTAATCTCTTCAATTCTGCTGGCATTTAAAAGCTTCAACATCACTCCAACCAGGCACACAGAAACACAAAACAAACTAAAACACACAAACAACTTACTTCTAGCAAGAAACTTGGCAAATTTCACTTATTTTTGATGTAGACATGCAAAAATCAGTTAATGTTTTATTTTTAAATTTCTGTAGACATAAGACAGAATGATAGCACATCCTGCAATTTTAAAGAAGCAGCTGATGTTGTCTGAGTGCCACAGGTAATGTGCCAAAGCAGAAATACAGTACTCAGCAACCAGAGAGGTTGATGGAAATGTCCTCTTTTCCTCTAAGCCGTTTTCTCTTGAAGACAATTAAAACATTTAAAAAGGAAGTGCTAAAAATTATTTAAAATACTTTTGCAGAAAGAATTTTGAAAGGACTAAGGAAGTGATTGAGTTGCTACTAGCAAAATATGCAACTATTGCTCCAATGCTTCCTTTAAGTATATAGTAGACAATAGTGGATATATTGGATATCTGAATTTTCAACTTTGATCTTTGTTTAGTTATGAATTTTTGTTATGAATTTGTTGTGAATTTTGTTAAGTAAAGCTAATTAAACCTAGAAATATATACCACTTAATATCTTATGATAGAAGCGAACCAAGATGTGCTTAGAAAAAGAGCGACCTGCCTCTAATCTACCAGAATTTTGTGACTGGTTGAAAAGAAAAAAAAGAACAGCAAGCCTATTATCTTTTATTTGAATTTTCAAAGGTTTCTCACAAAGTTTGTGACAAAGAGTCACTTAGATAACTGACTAATCATGTCAAATTCAGAAAAATATTTCTATCAGATTAGAAAATAGCTTTACTTTATAATTTTTAAGTGACAAAAGATACCTTTAGAATATTCACAGAATTCCAAGTGGAATAAGTAGTTTAACTACTTTTGCACGAAGTACTGAGATCTGTAGATGACATTATTTATTAATGACTTGACAATAATGAAGGGGAATATCTGTATGAAGGTGTTATGGCAAAACTGGAAGTGGTTACAGGCAAGGAAAGGAGTAGCTCTGTGCCCACTTCAACCACTAATCAAAGCACTCAGAAGCATCACTCTTACTGCTGTTGACACAGGACTCCCTCCAAACCTGAAAAAATCTAAATTTCCCTGTGGGAAAGAAACTGAACAAACATGGAAGGAAACCTGTCAACAGAAACTTCTGTACAGTCAAAAGAAGCCAATAAATACCATGCTGTGAGAGAACATGAAAAAACAACCAAAAAACTGCCGAGGCTGTTATGTAAACTAGCAGCCCTTTTCTGGGTGTCCTTCCTATCAGGGAAACAGCAGAAATGGAGATAAGAAGAAAGGAGTTAATGTCATAAAATAATTCTAAAATAAGAGCATATGAAAGAGTAGAGTATAACCAAATGGCACAGAGAGAGGAGGAGACACACTCAGTGAGATTGATGGTTTTGGGAACAAAGAACAAACAAAACCAGCACAATCTACTGTTAAGTTCTGTAACCAAGGTCAAAAGATACGATTATACTCTAAAATGTAATAAAATAAGCCGAAATATTTAATGTAATAAAATAAACTCCAGATATTTATCTATTATTTTTTATAATGCAGAGAATAGGAAATCTATGGTTAGATTAAAGAGGATCTGAAGCATTTTAAACAGAACCTATAAAGCCTAAAGCAATCACAGCATGGAGCAGTCCCCGACAAAGGGACATTCTCCCACTCGGCAACAGAGCCCGTTTCTTCGCCTGCAA